ACGACACACACACACACACACACACACACACACAAAAGCTGCAAACAGACGTTAAATCAACGAGCAGAAATTCAACTGACAATTGCGGGGGCAGATGAGAAACATTTCCTCCTTTTTTTTCTCTGTGTGTGTGTGTCTTTTTTTTCTTCTTATATTACTTCCGTTGTGGCGTTTCCCTTCTTTTTTTTTTTCCTTCGCCCCGCAAACACCCTTGCTCTTCCCTGTTGTTTTTTATCCATTGCTCCCGCCCAAGTATGCAGCCCTAAAGGAGGAGCAAAAAACAACATTGCACGTGCTTTGCTTCTCTCTGATGCGGCCGGTCAGGCTGTCGGCGCAAGGAAAGGTTGGCACGTGTGTGTGCGTGCGTGAAGACAACGGCAAGGTGTTGCGCTGGTGGGACGTTGTGTGCCTTTCTCTGTGTGTTCTTGGCAGGGTCGCTGCTGCTCTCCGTCTTTTTTTTTCTGCTTTCGCAGGGGAGGCCCCGTGTTTTGGTGGGCGTGGCGTGGGCGGGACCCGCGTTTCTGGCAGGGAGGGGAGCAGGCGAGGCAGTGGCGGCCCCCACCAACTCCTCGTCCCCGCCGGAGCAAGAGCAAAGACAAGGAAGGTGTAGGAGGCAGCAGGAGAGAGGGGCGCATGCTCGAGGTGGGGGAAGGCACGGCGAAGGCGAGCCCCGCGGACGCGGAGGAGCAAAGCGGCGAGGACCACCGCCTGCTGTGTGCGCTGCGGCAGCTGCATGCCAGGCTGGCGGCTGCCCAGCCGGCGTTCACCGAGGAGGACATTATCCTCATGGCGTATCCTTCACCAGGCGGATCGCCGACGCACTCGCCGCGCGAGCGGGATGCCGAGGGCGAACAGGACGACGCCCCGTGGAGTCTGGGGGCGGAGGCGCCCGGTGGACGGCGCACTGCGAAAACGAGCGCAGGCATCGGGGGCGCTGCGTCCTCCTCCCCTCTTGACGGCGCCGCGCCCTCGAGGAGTATGGCCGTGGACAGGGAGACGCAGCTAACCTCCCGCGAGTTTCTCGCGGCGGTGCGGAACTTGGATGCGAAGGCCATTCCGCGGAACAAGAAGGCGGCATTGGATGCCTTGAGGCTTCTCTGCGACGGATACGCCCTGACTTGGCGGGACACGCGTCACCTCCCGAGCACAACACTTACGGACCCTGTTGGCTCCTCCCGCTCAATGGCAACCTCCACGCGTGACTTGGGCACCCGCGGCAACAACGCCTCCTTCTTGCCGACGGAGCGACGTCCTAGCTTTGCTTCTTCATCGTCGTTTCGTGTTCCAGCGTACAGCCCGCCCAAGAGCCTGGTCCAGCTTATGGGCAGGTGCATGGAGTCACTGTTGGTGTATGTCAACGAGTCACCCTCGCTGCGCACGATGGTGACGTCAAATGTGACACTCCTGCGGTTACTCTGCTTTGTGGGTGCGGAGAGCCGAAAATTAGAGTCCTCGTGCTCTGATAAGGGCTGGCGCGACGTTGATGCGGAGCTGAGTGGACTCATGTCACACTGGCAATCCTTCTCAGTGACGCTGCCGCTTTTGCTTGCCCTGCGGGAGTGTTATCTTCTGGAGTTTTTGTTGGATGCGGCGTTGCCGCCCACCGTATGCTCAGCAAAGTACGATGGTATCGCCGAGGTGCTGCACGAGAAAAAGCGTAGGCTGATGACGGAGATGATGTCTAGTCGAAACGGGTTTGGCGCCATGACGAAGGGGCTGCCGCTGCGCAGTTTGGCGGCCTTTGTGAGCATGTCGGTGTTTGCGGAGCCGAAGCTGCGGGCTCGCGTGCTTGACCGGATGACCGGCGAGGGACTGCTGCGGACGCTTCGCAGCGAGCTGACGGGGGCGCTGGCGGACTCCGTGAGTCTCATGAAGACTGGGGACGGGACTCCCTCCTCGCCCACGACGTCGCGCTCGCCTTCGCGAAAGACAGGCGAAGCCGCCTCTTTCTCGCAACCGGAACTCAAGCGAGCCCACCTGGATAAGAAGCCGCTGACGGGCGCGCAGGACTCACCGCTGCGTCGCCTGAGTTATTGCATGGACATCCTCGAGTGTCTGACGGCGCCCAATTTGGCCCGGGACTCGACTTGCGCGACGCCCGTGAGGGGGGTTGTGCGTGCCACGGCGTGGGCCTCTCAACTCGAAGATGTTCGGGCCATCTGCGCCTGCTTGCTGCGCCTCTCCGCCCTGCTTGAGGGCGGTACGCAGTTTTCTAGTCTGCGTCCGCTGCAGGACCAGTTGATGGAGTGCGTTTGCCAAATTGCCAGTTACAGTGCCGTCCTCTACGGGGTGGTGGTGGAGGCCCTCGACGACACCCTCGGCGAGCGCGGTCGGGGGCGTGCGACGGGGCAGCGGGACGGCGCGGCCCCTCTGCTGCCTCTTCTTGTGGAGCTCCTGCGCCTCAAGCAACACGCGGAGGCGAATGGCCGGTGCGTGGGGCGGTGGTTCACGTGGCTGACGGAGTGCCTGGTGCCGCAGGCGTTCGACGTGCCGGTGCTCACGTGCAGCAGAGCCCGCAACGGGCGGTCGTGGCCGAACGGGGCAAGGCGAAAATCGTCCACCGCACGCCGTGATGCACCCATCCTGGCACGAAATCTGCGTCGTGACGAAATACAGTCGTTGTCCCCCTACTTCCGCTTTGCCACGCGGCTTGTGTTGGAGACGACGTGGCGCTACGGCGCGGAGCCGTTTCTTGCACGCATCGCGCTGCTTGCTTACAACGTTCTTCTGACGCAGGCACGGAGGCCGAACCTTGTCTTTGGTCAGGCCTCTGCCTGCTACGACGCGGTGGCCCCACTGCTGGAGACTTCACAGGGCGTACTTCCCGGCGTGCCTCCTGGCGAGTCGGCGTCCGTCCCTCGCGATTCGTTTGCCACGCCCACGCGGCCTGGCTGCGGGACACCGGGTAGCCCGTCGTTGCTGCGAGGGAAACGAGGCCGGTCCGTGTCTGGGGGTGCGACGGAGGCCGAAGACGAGGTGTTTGTCGCAAGCCCCAGTCAGTCCCCGCTGTTTCTAGAGTCCTACTCCCCTTCTGCGCTTGAGGCAGAGAAGGGCAGAGATTCGGACGGAGGTTCTCGGGGCGACGGCTCGCCTGCCTGTAGTCTGACGGCACCGTCGTGGCGGCAACGACTTTCACTCTCCGTCTTCCTTGCCGTGTTCGGGGCGTGCCTATCCAAGTGAGGCGGAGGAGTTGCTTCCTTTTTCTTCCCCCCTTCCCTCCCTCCCTCCGTCGTATATATGTGAGTGTGTACGCTTGCGTGTGTGCCAACTGCGGGGCTGCGACGCCAGGGATGCCGGTGTGCGTGCGGGTGGGGGGTGCTTCCTCCCTCGCGGGCCCGCGCGGGGGGCGAAGGCACACGCGGAGCACAAGTACGCTCCTTGCATCCGTGAGTCATCACGGCTATTTACAACGTTTTTTTTTTTTCTTTGTGTGTGTGTGCTCTCCGAACGTCTGCGCGCTTCTTCGTATCGCGTCGTGGTTGCTCGGTCACTATAGCGTGAAAAAAAAAAGAAAGAAAGAAAGATTTAGGTCCGACAGAGGCGCGACGCCGGCGTTGCTGCTTTCTGCTCAGCACACAGCCCGGCGGCGGGTGGGGGTTACCGGCGATGTACTTCATCCCGTTTGTGTATCATGCATCCTTCTTTTCCGTGGCGAATGCGGCCGGGTCGATTTACGCGTGGTACTCGACGCGGCGCCGCATGATGCTCTTCACGGGGGCGTTCAACACCACACTGGCCGCTGGGGCCGCCTACGCCTACCCGTTTGACGCCACGCTTTCCAACGCGTACGTGTCTATTGCTGCGACTTGCGCCTCCATGCAGTTTGTGCTTCACGGCCTCCGCACAAAGGCGCTGCTGCGGCCCACCCCGTTGGTTGGGGTCTACTACGCCTGGTGTCTCTCCCTCCTCGTCTACGGTGTGCAGCGGGGCAGGTGGGCGTACGTCCTGCGCGACGACTGAGGCCCGGGGCGGCGGGGCACTGCCGGGTGCCTCACCGCGTGGAATATCCCCCTTCTCCTCCTTCCAGCGGCGCACGGTGGGGCCCGCAGCCACTGGGGCCTCGTGAGCCACCGTGCCCCGCGGATCGGCCGGGTGGGGCCGCTCCTCCCTCCCTCTCTCTTCCTTTTGGTTCTTCTCTGTGCTATTGGCGGTGTGCCGCGACACGATGAGTTCTTCTCTTCCTTCTTTTTGCTTCGCAGGCCCGTGTCTTAGAGGGGCCCTACTCTCTCTGTGCGCGTGGCTGCTGGCCCCCTCGCCTTCGGCAGCGGCGGCGGCCCGGGGAGGGGGGCTGAACGGGGCCTGAAAGCAAAACAGGCTGGAGAGAGAAATAAATAAAAAAGGGACGAAAGTCATAGAGGCGACGAGGAGGAGTTATACAATAGTAGGCCAAGAAAAAAAAAAACGGCCTGTAGGGGGGGTGGGGTGGGGGGGACTCTTGCCTTACGAACGAGAAGCGACAAAGTTTTTTTTTTTTTTGCTTTTGCAGATGCCTTCGCGCCCAGCGACGCGGGGAGCCGGAAGGGCGTCGGGCTCGTGGGCAGGCCTTTTCAGCGCAGCTCGTGACGGGGCGCACGCCCAGGCGTGTTGTGGGGAGGGCGACAAGGCGCCGAAGCCCAACAAGTTGGTCTCGCAGACGCTGCTGGATGTGCGGCAACGCATCCTTGACGAGGTAAAGGTAAGTAAAGCTGCCAGCAGTAAGCTCCGCCAGGCGCATCGCCGGCGGGCGTGGGAAATGGCCTTTGGGCAGCCAGGCGGAGATGAGGTGGAGGTCTCGACGATAGAAATTTCCCTCATCTGCCCTTATTCCCGCGTGGCACTGCGGTACCCGGTGCGAAGCAGAGATTGCCAGCATCTTCAGTGCTGCGACTTGGAGTCGTGGATCGCGCTGCTCGACAAGTATCGCTCCATGCGCGACCCGAGGGCGCCGTGCCCCGTGTGTGAGAGGCGCGTGGCGGCCTCGACGCTGGAGATGGACTGCTGGCAGCTGTACGTCCTGTCACAGATGCCTCCGGGGACGCATATGCTTGTGCTGGACCCCGACGGAAGCTATCGCAGCGGTGATGCTTCACGCGAGCAAAAGAGGCAGCAAGTGACAGAGATAATAGAACCGACACAGGCGCCAAATGAAGCCGGCGACATTGTGTCTCTAACGTCTTCCACCGGGTCTGCATCCCCAGCCCCAATAGCGTCAGATGTTAGACTCGCCCATGTCAAACGGGAGCGACACTCGGAGGAAGCCCCGGATCCTTCTTCCCTGGGCTTCTCCACGACTTGTTTTTCTCCGACGCACAACGAGGAGGAGGAGGAGGAGGTTTGCGTCGTACATTACTTGGAGCCTGCATCGATGGCCCGGGTTTTGCCTAGCCAGGCCCGCCACTGGGTGGCGCACTGCCCTCGCTGCACCAGGACGCTGCTCAAGAGCGAGGGGGGCGAGGTGGAGGGCTGCGCTGAATGTGGCTTGGAGAGGGAGGACTGGACCCTCGTGCGGAGCTTTCCAGGCTCGTCCCTCTCCCTGGAGTTGACGCGTGATGGCACGTTGATCCTCGGCGGGGCGGATGCCTTGGCGCCCCACTTGATACGCGCCGGATTCTTCCGCGCCATCTACGTGGATGGCGACGGCGCCGTTGGCCCGCGCACGGGAGCCGGCGTCTGGTACACCACCGCCTCCCTCACCCGCTACGAATTGGATTTCTTGGAGGCATGTTGCCAGCGCCTGGCCTGCGGAGAAACAGTGGAGGAGATGCCGTCCGTCCCTGCCCTCTTCCGCATCCCCCGGCGACGTTTCGCCAGGCGGGAAACGACCTTCACGCAGTTGACTCACCCAAGTCCCAGCGGGTGAGTGAGTGGGGGTATGTGTTTTGTGCCTCGCAGTTGTTGAGAGCGTGTGTGCGTGCGCGTGTGCGAGTCTGTGTCGGTGGGTCGCTGCATGCGGATTCAGCACGCTTGGCCTCCCTCTTGCTGTCTTCTTCTGCCTCTCTCTGTGAACGTTCCACCTTCTGCAGCGGCTTCCCTTTCTCCTCTTATTGCAGCTGACGACCCTGTCTTTTTTTTTTTCTTACTTCCTCTCGTATATCTCCACCATCCTTGCCGTGCGCTGCCGTCGCCCCGCCGCCCCTCCTCCATTACTTTTTCTTTCTTTTTCTCCAATTCTTCGTGCCTTGTCTTTTTTCTTGTCGTCGTGCCGGGGTTCCGAGGTTGCCTCATTTGCTTGACTCTGCTACCGCTTATGTGGCGCGGTGCCCCCTCCACGCTGGGGCTAGTGCGCTGGCGAAGGGGCGCCGGGGAGTGGGGTGGGCGCCGGGTGGGCGCCGCCGCCGCGGCGACCGCGACTGCGCTCGGCGACTACCGCCCGCGTCCGATGGCCGCCGCGTCGCCGTCGTTGTGGACGTGCAAGCGCCTGATTCACCGCACGACCCGCCTTTGGCTGGAGCCGTCGAAGGGGGTCGGGGCCGCGGCGGCGGGGTGCGCAAGGGCGCCCAAAGGGGAAGGCCAGCCGGAGAAGGCCGCGGAAGCCGCGCAGCCGCCGCAAAAGCCGCAGCGCCCGAAGGCCCACAAAACCGCGGTGAAGGCGCGGACGGCGGCGGCGGGAGGCTCTATTGTCACAGAGGAGGCCCTGCAGAAGATCCCTGTGTACCGCGTGGTGACGCACGTCATGCGGCACTTGTGGCCACCCGGGCAGCCAAAGTACCGGGCGCTGGTGGTTGCCAGCGTGATGTGCGTCATCACGGCAAAGATGCTCAAGGTGGCTGTGCCGTTTTGGTTCAAGATGGTTGTGGACGCCCTCGCACCCGGCCACAATGTTGCGGAGGCCGTGGCCGTTCTTGGCCCATGGCAGCTTGGCGTCTTTGGGATGGTCGCCGCCTACGGCGTCACCCGACTGACGAGTTCGTTGACCGAGGAACTCAAAACTGCGCTTTTTGCCCCGGTCGGCAGCCACGCCTCCACCACAATCGCCATGGAGATGTTCCGCAAGCTGCATTCGCTGGATTTGCACTTTCACCTTAGCCGTGAAACAGGGGTTTTAAGTAAAGACCTCGATCGTGGTAGCCGTGCGTTCTGGGCCCTTGCCTACGCCCTGCTGTTTCTGATTGTTCCCACCGCGTTTGAGGTGGTGCTTGTTTGCACCGCACTGCAAACTAGCGCGGGCCTTAGTTTTATTCTGACGGCGTTGTCGGCTGTATTTGCGTACATTGGGTGGACGTACGCCGTCTCCAACTGGCGCGCCGTATACCGTGAACGCTACAACAAGGGTGATAGCCGCGTTGGCGGACTCACGGTGGATTCACTGCTCAACTACGAGACGGTGAAGTACTTTGGTCGGGAGGACTACGAGGAGGAGCGGCTTCGCCGCGAGACGATGAAGACAAACCGTGACCTTGCTCGGCTGGATCAATCCATGGCGGTGCTGAATTTTGGTCAGCAGGCTATCTTTGTGCTTGCGGCCCTGACGTGCCTGTACCTTTCAACCTGCGGGGTGGTGGCCGGTGCGATGACGGTGGGAGACATGGTGCTCGTGGACGCGCTGCTGATGCAGCTGTACACCCCGCTTAGTTTTCTCGGCATGATCTACCGCGAGGTACAGTCCTCAACGCAGAACATGCAGGCCATGATCGCCTTGCTTGACATTGAGAGCGCCGTGAAGGAGAAGCCAGACGCGCGCCCACTGAAACTTACCGCTGGGACCATTGAGTTACGGGACGTGTGCTTTCGCTTCGACGAACATGGGGCGGGACGGGGCATCCTGCATAACCTTTCCCTCACCATCCCGGGCGGCAGCACTGTGGCCTTCGTTGGGCCCTCGGGCAGCGGCAAAAGCACCATCTTCCGGCTACTCTACCGCTTCTATGACCCCACCGCCGGCGCGATTCTCATCGACGGCCAGCCGATGACGGAGCTGCAGGTGAGTAGCCTTCGCAGGGCCATTGGGGTTATTCCGCAGGACACAGTGCTCTTTAACGAAACGGTGCGGTACAACATCCGCTACGGCCGCCTAAACGCGACGGACACGGAGGTGGAGGAGGCGGCGCGTGTGGCGAGCATCCATGATAGCATCATGAGTATGAGTCAGCAGTACGAAACCTGCGTGGGGGAACGTGGGCTGAAGCTCTCTGGAGGAGAAAAGCAGCGTGTCGCCATTGCGCGCGTTGTTCTCGACGACCCGCCGATACTGCTGGCGGATGAGGCCACCTCGGCCTTAGACACTGCGACGGAGATGCGTGTGATGCAGCGGCTGCGGGAGCGAGGCGGGAAGGGGCGCACCATAATCCTCGTCGCGCACCGCCTCACTACTGTCAAGGACGCCGACAGGATTTTTCGTCCTGGACGGCAAGGGAGGTCTGGCGGGGAGTGGCAGGCACGATGAACTTTTGGAAACATGCGACCTGTACAGGGACCTGTGGTCGCAGCAGCTGCATGCCGCACGGCCGGAGGAGGAAGAGGAGGAAGAAGAGGAAGAAGAGGAGGAAGAAGAGAAGCGGGAAGTGTAGAGGCCTGAAAGCGGTCCGGATAAGGACCGGCTGTTATCGTTGTTGTTTTTCCCCCTTTTCCTTTTTCCTATTTTTACTTTCGTTAAACGGGGGATGTCCCTTAATTCGCACGCCTTTGCTTGGATGCACTTACGGGAAGGGATTTCCCTCGGGCCCTAACGGCGTTTCGTCGGCGGCGGCCAATTACACACGGGCGCACACACATCACCCACTTTGCCCGAATTCGGGGTTGCGCCGTGCGGGGAAGGGGGAGGAGGGCAAGTGCGTTTATTTTCCCTCGTGTGGGGGGAGGGGGGAGGAATAAACGACGAGCGATGACGCTTGCGAAGTGGCAATCGCGTTTTTTTTTCTCCTTTTCTCTCGTTCTCTGTCGGTTGGTCGACTAATTTTTTTGTTTGCCTGCGTGTGTGTGCACTTTATTTGTGCTTCATTTCCTCCTCCCGTGCGTGCGCGCGTGTGTGCGTGTCTTCCTCTCCTGCTTTGCCTGCACCTTTTCCCTTTGCTTCTTCTGCGGATGTGTATCTTTTGTCCCTTCCCCCCCCCCCTTTTTTTCCACCCGCTCTTGCCGCTGTCGCGCGCGTGGACGCCGCGGCGAAGCACGTCGTGAAGGGAAGGAGCAGGGGAGAGGGAGGGCATGCAGCCCGCCGGCGGTTCCGCAGCCTCCTCGCCCTCGCACAAGTCGCGCTCCACGCCCGACAGCCACCGCCGCGCACTCACCGTCGACCTCATGCGGCTGCTGGACACCAAAGAGGCGGCCGACAGCGGGGGCTGGACGGCTGCTGCGGCGGCGGCGAAAGGGGGGACGGCGGCGTACGCGGCCTTTGACCCGGAGAGGCTCTGGCAGGCCCCCGGCGGCGGCGGCGGCGAGGTAAACGCGGGGGCGGGAGCAGACGAGGCCTTTCACGGCGTGGTGATTGTGTTTGTCGACGGGCCACCTGGCGGTGACGCGGGACTTGCAGGCGTTGACGGCGATGCCTGCTTCAGCGGCTCCGTCTTGCGCTTCCTCGTCTCGCGGACGGACTTCCTGAGGCAACTGCAGTCGTCCCCGGCGCCGCGGTGCCCCGCAACCCACGGCCACACCGGCAACGGCGAGGCGGCGGCGGAAACGGGAGGGCGCGACGGGGTTGGGGCGGTGCTGCTCTTCGCGGATGTCAAGGTGGAGGGACCAGACGGTGGCCGGGGGCTCTCCGTGGTGTACGTGCAGCTGGCAAAGGAGTGGCGTTGGGCCGTGGATCGCGCGGCGGTGCAGCGCCGCGCCGCGCAGGTGATTGACGCCGCACAGTCGCTCTCTCCAAGTGCGCCGCCGGCGACCTTTTGGGTGGACTTCACAGGCGTCCTTGACACCAACGATTCCGCAGTGCCACACGAGGTCCGGGATGCGTGGTGGGACCTTGCCGTCACTTCCGCCTCTACGCTGTCAGCCCCGCGGGTGACGCTGCTGGTGGACCCCGCTGCCGTGCCGAGGCTGCGTCAGGAGGCCGAAAGGGCGAGGCCGGAGGCGGGGGCCGTGCAACACGCGCCCGTGGAGACGGACCTCAATGGCTTGGCGGAGTTCCTCTGGACCTCGTGCAGGAGGCACGCGCGTGAGCACCCGCCGGGAGTGGGCAGTGGGAGTGACGGGCGCCACACGAGTCCTGCTCGGCCGCTTGTGTTTGAGCACGACGAGGAGGAAGAAGGGAACGGCGACGGCGATGAAGATGAGAATGAATTGATTTGGAAAAAATACGTGCACGCGACGACGGAGGAGGTGAATGGCAGTGCTGCACGGGCTGACGATGATGAGAACGAGCCGCTTTGGCGGAGATGCCTGCCTGCGGTGGCACGGGACACGGAGGAGGACGCCGCGCATGAGGCCTCGCAAGGCCGCTCTTGTCTGCTTCTTGAATGCGCGGGCGACTCCCGTGCGTCCTCCCTGGGCGATGATGCATCCATACGGGAGCTGCTTGTGTCGTGGTCATCCCTCGGCCGCCCGCACCCGCCGCGCACGGTTGTTGTTATTGTTGACGACGACAGCCAACTGGCGAGTGTGCTGCTGTCGTGGGTGCGAGTGCCATGGAGCCAAAACGCGCTGCTCCTCCCCGTCTTTGGCGTGAGTGCGCTGGGGACCCACAATGCCTCCCGGCAGGAACTCGTGTTGCCGCCGTCGCTGTCGTCGGTCGCAGCCGCTGCGCCGAGGATGACTTCCGATGACGCATCCGCGTCCCACAGGTTTTTCCGGATTCTCACGTTTGCCGTCCAGTACTTTGGCATTGACGTTCACCGCAGCGCCTGCCTCACGCTGACGAGCCCTTTTCTGCGGGCTGCGGAGTCGCTGGGGTTTCAGGCT